CAATATAATATATATAAATAAGAACAATATAAAATAGTATAATGAGGAAATAAATTAAAATAAATTGATTAAATTAGAATTAAAGAAAAATAAAATAAAATGTACTTAAAAACTCAAATAACGATCATTGACACAACAAACTTATATGAAATTAGAAAATAAAAAAAAACATATTAAGAAATTTTTAATCCTGCAGAGTTCAATTTTTTTTTAATATTTCGCATTCTTAATCGTTCTAATTTTTAAATAAAATATTTTCAAATCATAGCAACTGTAATTAATTAACTAAAACTCAAAATATTATTTAAAGAATCTTGTGTGTTACTGTTTACGTTCAAACCATTACATCCAATATTGTTATACCAAAATAAGCCACACTTCATTTTCCTACAAAAAGTTGAGATTTTTTTTAAATTTTAGACTCATTATAATGCCATTATGCCAAAATGATCACAGGAGTTTTTTTGGTAAAGTTGAGAAAAGAATGTGAATAATTTTTTTTTTTTCAATACTATTTCAGAAGAAAGCAAAGTAAGGATTTTTTTTATTCACTAAGTAACTCAACTAAATTTATAAGTATTTATATGTGCCTCTCACATTGTATCTCCTCAGGCTAAGTACAATTTCTTTTTTGGTCGTTTTTATGTTTTCTTGCTTTATAATATATTTGTCAGCTGCCTAATTTATTCCTTATAAAGAGATATAATTTTATTTAAAATGAAAGAAATTCTCTAATGAAGTTTCTTTAAAAAAATTGTAATCCTTTGAACATTGGTAATATTTTCCTATAATTATTGAATATTTAGAGATAGATCATAGTGGCTTAGAACGATAGTATACACATTATGTATCGTTTTAAAAAATTTGTAAGTAATTTGTATTAAACAGATATATGTTAAAATAAAATCAATATGACAAAATAAATCATCATTATGATTATTAATAAATAAATGAAATAATTTAATAAAGTGTAATATTGTTTCCTTAATCGGTTCTGGTTATTACTCCTATATTTGTATGAACTAACAACTATTTGCTTACATTAGTCCATTGTTAGTGTCCATAAATAGCAATAAAAATAATCAATATTTTTCAATTTTTTTTTTTTTTTTTTTATTGGAAACCTACCTTTATAATTTAAAATGAACACGAAAAAAAAAAAGAATTTGTCATACTATGAATACATTTTAATATATAACCGTAAAGTTCGAACATAAACCTAAGTATATACATATTTCTTGATGAACATGTCTAGTAATATTTATTTTAAAATTTAATTTTCTGCTTAAATTATGTTACATTGAAAAATGCGAGAAAATATGATTTAAAAAATTCAAAATTGGAAAATTAATAACTAGAATAATAAATATAAACACCTCTTTCTTATTAATCATTATTCACGAGAAAAAAAAATCGTAATTTACTACGGTTGAACTTGAATTATAGGTTTAATAAACGTTCAGGATAAGCATTCGCTTTTTTTTCTGTGTGGCCTGTGTGTGGGAAGAGATTTATTACAAATTATTTCCCGGTTTTTAAATGTCTGTATTATTCATTTTTAATCGTTAAATGATTTAAATTTATTACTGCAGATTCATGAAACAGGTTTTTTTTTTTTTTTTTTGGTTTTTTTTGTTAATAGTCAGTCAACATTCAAAACGTTTTCATTAATCTCATCTAATTATTCGACTCCAATAACGTTAAATGAACAAGCATCAGTTATTTTAAACGATTCTAATGAAGGATACAAGAATTTTCAATAATTTGTATTTTTATAATTAGATACCAATAAATAACTCTCACAAATAAACATACGATTCTTAATTGGACTATTAAAATGTATTTGACCTTGTGATAGATGCTTCTCAACTATATGTCATTCTTGGTTTCTCTTTTCGTGAATATTTTTATAATTTTTTCAAGGCACAGCTCCTTCTTGATTTAAATTGCTACTCGATTAATTTCACTAATCTAATTTCCAAATATCGATTCATAAAAATATAGTGATTTTTTATTCGATAGTTTTAATACTGTTCCTTTTTCTCAAGTTCTTAATAATCTATTTATTTTATGTTTAAACAATTTAACTATTTTTTTATATTATATTATTATTTAAATATTAATATATTAAGAATATATATATTGATATTTAATTTTTGTTATTGAGCTATTAAAAATACACAAAACAATGAATTCAATTTTAGCCTTCTTCCCATCCTCTTAAATATTATAAAAATCAAAGTAGAAATGTCTTTTCGACTTATCGAATTACTATTTCAATATATTTGAAAAGTATCGTATCTGTATCGATGAATGCGTAAAAGTAAATTTTATTCTGGGGGCATTATTCCATAAAATTAATACAAAATATACAATTCCAGAAACATTCATTAGGCTCCTGACAGTAGTTATGAAATGATTAAATTATAAAATAATGTGATTAAATTATATAATTTTTATTAGCGTAAGAAAATATATTAAAATGGTGAAATATGTTTATTTATTTTTATGATTTTGCTTGGAGTATGCAAATTTTCTGTGAAATATATTCCTCTTTCTGTGGGGTTACTAAAGAGGGAAAAAATATTAGTTTTCTGACTTCAGTGCATTAAATGTCCTAATGGATGGCTCTAAACGTTAGGAAAGGGAATAAACGTTACTATAATTTATAGCATCTGTCTATTGACAGCAGCCCGACCAACTTATCATAAAATAAAATTTAAAAATTAAAATTCGCTCTAAGCTTTAAATAAATTACAAACGACTCATATATATTACTATAATAAGACCTATTTGGACTAACGGAATTGGGCTTTGGGGCTCCACTAAACCATCGAATTCCTCTCGTATCCAATCCTTACAATCCAAAATCCTTCGTAAAATCCTCAACGCTCCTTACTTTGTCACAAATAAAATCATCCCTAAAGACCTTAATGTTCCATATGTTTCCGATTTGGCCCAATCTAGTTATCCTTCCATAAAAAACTCCAGAACCATCCGAACTCTCTCGTTTCAAACCTTGCTTTCTCCACGATCCCTGATAATCCTCCGAGGCGTCTGAAAAGAAGATGGCCTCAGGACCTTCTAATATAGAACTTTAATTTGAGTTCTATCAATGGGTAGTTTCTCATGTTGTACATGCCATGTTACCAATGTCACATTTACTTGCTGTATTTTTAATGGAATACAGTTGTAAATTTCATTAAAATAAAAAAATTAAAATTATAAAATGTATATTTAATCTCCATCCGCACCTATTATATATATCCATAGTAACAAATAGCGATTATATTAGTTATAGTAATATAAACAAAAATTTTTAAAAATTATTTCATGTTATCACAGATGTCATAGCCATACTGATAACTGATTATGTGAAACCAGATGCTCATTGCATCATGGAACATCTACCTTTCTCTTCCATCTGAAGTCAGGCATCCCATGAAATATTAATCTCTCAGACATCTTGTGTAACTAAGCTCTATAATGAGGTAAAAAAAAAAATAAAGTACAAAAAAAATAGGCAAGAGTTGTAGAAGATTCTGATTTGGAAGGGAATCCGTCGAAACAAATGCTACAGTGCAGTTTACATAATTGAATGACGGTGAGCGCAGGAGGGCGATGCAAATGAGTCCAGTTAGCTCCGATATCGACAGTTCCAGTCCCACAAAAACGTATAAATAACCTTTATTGCACGATTTAACTGAACGTTATTGACTCCGGTCTAGTAGCGTATTTACAGCTTCGCACCGCTTTACGTTGTAATCTACGAGTAAAGGCCGTTAGGGGGGCGGGAGGGGATTTTCATGATTCCACGACCTGTCGTTGATGACAATTATTACTCTTTTTCCGGGAGAAATCGAAAATGATCTATATATTTTTTATATATATCTTTTTAAAAATTATCTTATTTCTTAGCTTAATAGCTATGTGGTGAATGAAATAATCTTCGCCTACGTAACAGTTATTTCTGATACTTTTATTAGTTGGCAGTTGCAGATAACTCCCCTTCCGTTTTTCAATGCATAAATGAGATGCTACAAGAGAATTAAATCGTACCGAAATTTTTTAAATAAATGGAAATAATGACCAATATATTGATTCATATAGCACATAAGGAACTAATATTGTATTAAAGATTTAGATATTTAATAGCTTTAATGGCAACAGTTTAATAATGATTTAATGGAATAAAAATATAATAATAAAAAAATATGAAAGTAAATCAATATCAAATTAATACAAAAATTAATTAAATTCCTATAAATTAAAAAAAATTATGATTTTATAAAAAAAAGATATTACATTTCATTATACAGGAAAAAAAAAACTTTAAAAATATTAATATGATACTAAATAAAAATTAATTTATTCATTTATTCATTTATTCATTATAAAAATAATCTTATTTTATTTAATAAATAGTGAGATGGTTTTTTAGTTTAGACATTTTTAATTTTTTTTTTTTTTGGAAAAAATAACAGTTTCGAAAAAAATATTGGTCTAAATAAAAATATTAATTTATTGATATGTATTTCTACTTCTTTGCCGAAATCTCTAGATGATATTACATCACTCATTACATATAATAATTATATATTACCCTCAGATATAATTATTTTAATATGTATTGTTAAGATTACGCTCAGATATTAAACATTCGAAATAATTTTATTTGGTAATTTTGAAGTAATTAATATTTGTTAAAATATTCGTGGGCCTTCAAGAGAAGCACCGCGAACTCCTGTCGTTCTGTTTTGCCCTCCGCTACGGGAGTTTTCCCGCCTTACTTTTAATGTTATTTTTATACAGATAAGTATGAATGCTTTATTCATGGTAGTTATTTATTTTTATATAAATATATATTCTAATTCAGATTTAATTTTTTATTTACTTTACCTTCATCAAGTAATTTTATTTTTTTTAATTTTATAACAGCTAAAAAATATTTAAATAATTTAACCTTTTTTGTTAAGTAAAAAAATGGTATTCAGTCATGCCCTCAATCTTTTTACAACACTTCTTAAAAATTATTTAATGATTGATAATATAATATAATAAGAAACGGAACATTTATAAAATTATCAAAACTTTCATTTGTATTTTTTTTTTTTTTAGACCTTCGGTTCACAGAAAATCAAAAATATATATTTTTCCCACTCAAAAAGTTGTCCAGTCATTGCCCTTCAAAGTATGGCTCAAACTGTACTATCAAGACCCATCCCCACATGAAAGTTCCACAAAAACTTAAACAATGCTCATTATTCTATTGACTTTCCTGTACTCTATCTCTCTCAAAGTTTTCTGTATTTTCCCTAGCCGTATGTATTCTCCCGTCAAGCCCATATCTACGAGTTTGCCGCCTTTTCAGAGCTTTTCCGACGAAACGGAAAATTTTCTCTTGTAGCTAAAAAATCTAGATTGCATTATACTGGGTTTTATTACCTCCATATAAATATACTACCCAAAAAGTTTTAACAAATATACTTCCTTTTGCTTCTTTTTTTTCAATATAATGTGAATCAAAAATACAACAAATAATCTGTCAGATGATGGTAATGAAGTATAGATCATGGCTTGCTGATATTTCGCCTCATCTCAAAACATCTATCCTCCATCTCCTCTTCAAGATGCTTATAGAGATTCCGTGGTAATTTATTACTAAAGTGTATCTGGAGTTTCTTATACATGGAAGTCAACCAAATGTGGAATTACTAAAAAATAGTAGATCTCAATAATAACACATCGTATTTATGTGAGAATTGTACTCCTAAAAATATGCTTGTACAATACATGCCATCTATTTAAATTTCCTTTAATGAAGTGTGTAAATAAATAAGTTTAAGATCCAAGTATTAACACAATAGTGAAACAGTTATGAAGCTGTTTTGGGTTGGACTATTTTCTATGAGAGGATAGTCATTTTTCTTCACATCGAAGGAGTTTCAAGATTGGTTAGATATTTCGAATTTTCATTATTTACTTGACACTCCATCATTATATATCGAAGTTTTTTTTTTTTTGTTTTTTTTATAATAGTCCGTTCTGAGAAATTTTTTACAGAAATAGATGCCTGGGAGAAACTTAGTTTTCGACTTTGAATGAACGTGTTAAATTCTAGTGTATTTTTATTCTATGCAGGGGCAAAACGTACTGATAGAATTTAAAATAAAAGTATTTTAATAATCATTTAAATTTTATTTTGCCTTTTATTTTTGATTGTAGTGAGTATACAATCATCTTATAGTGAACCTCTACAGTAATCTATTAAAAAATACCTCTGTAAATCGAAAGCCTAAATAACTCCAAGTTTTTTTTTCACGTTTAATACATCGATGCTTCACTAATTTAAGTTTAATGTTTTAGAGAGAGAATCAGTTTATTTTCATAAAAGGGTGCTGGCCAATTATGTTGGGTTGCTTCAAACACAGCATACTTATTAATCACTACAGACAATTTTTTAAAATTAATATACAATTATATAGTATTAACAATATATATATGAGCATAATATACAATATATATATTTTTTTTTCTCTCCCCTTATATATTTTTCTTACTCCTCTTATTCCCTCCTCTCTCTTCCTAACCTAATTCATACAAATACATAAAGTACAGTGGACGTGTTTAATAAATAATATAAATAAATAAATAATAATAAAAAAGGTTTAATCTTAACTTTGAAATCATTTGCTATTCTTGAATAAATCATTTCCATTGTAATATTGAAATCATCTTACTAGTACAGTATTGATAATTTTGGGGAAAAAATATATAAAATAAATTATTAATATTATATAAAATAGTGCGAATGTTTACGTTACCTGTACAAGGCTCTACGCTATCAAGTCTTTCTGCGTTTTAAGTTGTTAATTCATATCCGTTCCAAGGCCGTTAAAAATGTACGAATAATTGTAAATAAACGGTGGAAGGTACGGACGGCAATGTGATGAATGTATAGAGGAAGCTATTTTAATTGACTCCCCATAAATGCAAACGAGCCTCAAATGGGAAAACGAAGAAGAAATCCTGCTGTATATTTTATAGAAACCATCAAGGATAGATGAAATATGGTCTTCATCCAGTACCTGTCTTATTTATTTCCTGTTATTTAAATATTTTATTTCTTATTTTTATTTTATTTGTTATTTTTTTTGTTATGCGTTTAGATTTTCTGTAACTTGAAACGATATGGATATACGAGTATATTCTAATTTTTTATATCTTGTAATTCATAAGTTTCATAATTAGAAATCTTAAAAAGCAATACTCGTTGGTTATTAAATAATTATCTTTTTTGTACTTTAGTATTTTTTTTAATTATAATGGATATTAAATAACTAATATAAAAGCTATTTGGTGAACTAATTACATATAGCTTAGTATATGGGTAGATAGCTCAGTATATAATAGATTAATTATCCGAACAGCTTATCTCATAAAAATGCCTTTATTAAATTATTTTCGAATCTATAATTATAGTAACAATCAGTAATGGAGGATGAAATTACATCGATTACATGATTAGGCATGAGGAAACCTAGCACCCTTGGGTACGATCCCCCGGTCAGCTACTGCTTAAGTGGTTGGATCAGATCCCTCAACCATTTCCTCTTCAGTCTTCTTCTTGGGCGATGCATAGCCTAAGCATCTACAAGTGCCCATATGCCTATGGTCTATGGTCCAGGTCCACTGACTGGTCTATAGACCGAAAAAATATTTTTTTTTTTAATTTTTCGTTTACTGTGGAGTGTTGAATATTTTCGTAGGGTTTATGTAATTATAGGCTTACCCGATAGTTAATGAAACGAGAGTATTTTCATTCATCAAAATACGCTCCATTACTCTCAACATATATCTGCCAACGACTTTAATTTACTTAGTAACTTTTCCATCCCTTCTAATTTTTTTTTAAATTTATTTATTCATCATATTTACGACTGTATCAGAACATAAATACATCTAGTAAATGTGTACTCAGGAATGTAATGACATGGAAACGCTTGTTGAGAAACTACCCACTGATATCACTCTAATAATATGTCTGAATAAGGAGATATTATTTTCAGACGCCTTGGGGTGTTATCAAGGATCGAAGAGGAAGCAAGGTTAGAAACAAGAGGGTTCGGATAATTCTGAAGTTTATTATGGAAGGTTAGGTATCAAATCGGATTACATTAAGGTCGTTATGGATGATTTTATTTGTAAAAAAGAAAAGAGCATTGAAGATTTTACGAAGAATTTTAGATTGTATAAGGATTGGATAAGAAAGGAATTCGATGGTTTAGTGGAGCCCCAAATCTCAATACCGTAAGTCCAAATAGGATTTATTATACTCACATACATATGAGTCTTTTGTAATTCAGTGAAAGTTAAGAGCGTTTGTCAAGTAAATGCTGGAGCAGTCGGAAACGTCGAACGTAAACGTTTTAGTTATCTTTGAGGATTCCAAATGAGACGCTTGTCCATCTAAATATTGAATCTTTATTAATTATAAATTTAAAAAATGTAATCTCTAAACAGTTCTGTTCAATAAAATTCTAATCTTAGAGAGGATTACAGAGAGGTCTAGAGTAAAGAGCGAAAAATGTTTTTTTCTGTTTTGGGAAAGAGCTGCAGCTAAAGTTCATTAATCAAATTTTTATATGCGGTCGTTTGATGCATGAGGAAACCGAATCGATCTGTAGAATAAAAGTTTTTCTAGAACTTCTCGAAATGTTGTTCGGGGATTTTCTTCGGTCACAGAAAATTCTCATCAATCCATCCATGACAACCCCTCTCGAAATTTTCTAAACCATCGTTGCACTTTGCAAGACCATGACAAGAACGTCTAACTGTTGCAAGACCAACACCAGGACTGGTAAAAAAAAATCGATTTTTTGAATAAAAATTAAGGCGAAATAGTTACTAATACTTGACAATTTTAGTTACTATATATATATGTATAACCAATATACGTTTGCACTTAACTCCTCGAATTTTTCATTCGGGCTTAGTTAGGTTTCTCCTATCTGAAAAAGTACAGTAATATCTCTGCAGTAATAATCTAATAAGTAACTGCAAGACTGTTGCTAGACTCTTGCGCAAGACCAAGCCCATGACCAAGACTGAGTTTGCAAGACCAAGACTCGTCTCGGTCTCGCATTTGGGCCTACGCTTCATTATAATTTCTGGCCGTTTAGGAGTTGGTCCGACCGAATTTATTTAAACTCGTAAAACGAAAATATGCAAAAAAATTCCCTTTTAATCAAATTATTAATATCCGTCTAAAAATTTCGTAAATGGCTACATCTCATCGTAATTCACAACTTTTTTATTTACGAAAATTCTCATAAATGGGGCATTTTCTAATTAATTTAATGGGGTAATAAAAGTCTTGGATTCGCTTTCCACTTGAATTCTAAGATAATTTGATCACAAAATCGTGAAAAAATACGAAGAACAAAAATATTGTATCGTTTGGCCTGGATAAGCTCCTAATTTTGACATTTTAGGGGTGAAGGCCATGTCGAGTGGCCTAATATTTTTGTAGGTCACCCTTTTTTCTCGATTCATCAGATCAAATTATCTTACTATTCAAGTGAAAAGCAAAAGAGTTTTCATGAGTTTTTTTTTTTTTACCACATTAAATAGGCAATGTTTGGACATATGTTAATAATTTGTTAGAAAGGGGTTGTTTACTGCGGATCATAGAGGGTTTATGAAAAGGAGAAATAAAATCAGTATAATAAATAAAATAAAATAAAATTAGTATAATTCTCCGTTAGTTTCATTGTTTCCAAAGTGAAAGTACAATTTTTCTTTCTTTTTTTTTTTTTAGTTTGAGATCCATATTTTTAATGAGTGAGCTTAATGATGAGGTGAATGGGCGACTCATCTTCAATTTCTTTTTACACCAGCGCGCTCACCGTTATACGAGGTTAACCATTTAGCTATGTCCGAAATAGGTAATTGTAAGCACGTGTACCGAGGCTAATAGCCCATAGAGGCCCGAGGTATTTGCTGGCCGGCCGGCAGAGTGGGGAACCGCCATATTGGTTGCATTACCCTGGTGCAATGTTCATATGCACACAGTCGCATCTTAGCTGCGGTAGGATCGGTACCAAGCATGGACCCCACTGGTACCGTATCCGGCTGCATTTCCACGCTCTCATGGTAGGTCCCACATCTGCAATCTATGGTTAGTGCTTATGGTTATGGTGTGTCTTGCTGGGTCTATTGTAACCGCTGTATTCGAGTCCTAGTCGTGTAAGTACAGATTTAAGGTATAGCGTCCAAGCCATATCGATCAGATTATATTATATTGCACATCTCCAAAAAATAATCCCGTAACATCCCCTATGCACATGAAAAAAATTGAACAGTCTAAAGCACGATTATATGCCCAAAACATTTACGAAAAAATATTTTATAAACTAATTATTCTCGAAAATTTACGCAAACCCAAATTCTAAATAACACATTATTCCTTAACCCACATTTTAAGACTATTGTTAAGAATGGCCTCCATGGCTTAAACGAAAACAAAAATATTTTATTCATTCTATAATATGTAATAAAACAGTTTTATGCTAATAATCAAGAAAACCACCCCTAACCATTTATGATCTAAAAATAAACCATCATTTATAGAATTATATATGTGATTCGATTATTAAAATTAAAATGTGGGCGAATATTACATATTATATCTAAAAAATTACCACAAAAATAATTGTACTAATTAATCATTATTATAATGCTCAACCTGTCGTATATAACCGCATAACCCCTTACACACTCGTAAAAAAAAAAATTGAAAAGATTAAAGTACGAAAATATACTCAAAGCAATTCTACAAACAAATTTCATCAGCCAATCTTACCAATTCGTCTCGAAAATTTACGTAAATCCAAATTTGAAACAAGATATTATTGTTCAATCCATTTTTTAAGACAAAGGACGTATTCTTTCAATCAAATATTTATAAGAATTGTCTCTATGACTTAAATATAAAAATACTTTTTATTATAAAATATGAAACAAAATAATTTCATGTCAATATGAGGTACACCTAGTCAAGAAAACCACCCCTAACCACCCATGATCTGAAAATAATCTAATATAATTTATAAAATTATACAAACTAATTTTATCTATTCTTGTCGAAAATTTAAGTAAACACAAATTTTAAATCATATATATTATTATTTATCCATTTTTTTAAGTCAATGGATATCAATTAAATAAAACATTTTTTTTTTTTTTTTTTTTTAGAAAAGTCCAGAAAACCGAAATGGTCTCAAAAATATATTTATCTATTCTACAATATAAAATAAAATAATTTAAAGTAGATATACGATGCACCTGATCAAAGAAACCACCCCTTACCATCCATGATCTAAAAACAACCTTATAAATTAATTTAATTTAAATTTTAAATCTTCATATAATAAAATAACAATGCAGCAAACTATTATATAATATATCCAAAACATTTTTATCAATATATATATATATATATATATATATATATATATATATATATATATATATATATATATATATATAGTAGAGAACAACATTTAAGTAAAAAGTTAGTGACAACAAAATACATAAACAAAACATTTGAAATCTTTTTTTTAAAGCTGAATTCTTAAAAAAATATAAATGAATAAACATTGAATTAAATCAAATGCCCATAAATGTACATATATGTATCTATGATATTAATTTGATTCAAGCGTTCTTCCAAAACCTCATATTCATCTGATTTTTAATATACACAGCTTACAATTAGTCATTCAATTATTTTACATGCAATTATTTTAAATTATCTAAGATTAGTTTTTAAATCGTATCCTGACATTAAGAAACATTACTTCAAATTGACAAATTAATGATTAAACATCAAATTAAATTTATACAAACATAACTTTAAAAACCGGATTCAGATCAATTAATTTTTTGTCTAAAAAATTTTCTGTAGGAGAAAATTATCATCGGAATTATTTCAGCTTACATATAATTAATTTTGTAATCATATTTATAAATATATATTAATTTTAATCAAGAAAAGTAATTAGCAATATTAGTTATTGTTTAGTACAGACCATTAAATAATAATGTAAAATGCGGGCTGAAAAAAATTTGTAAAGAAATAAATAAGCTCAATACTGAACAGGGACTACTTTTTACTCTTCAGGTTCCACTTTTCCGGTCTAAGTCATCATGCTCTTTAAAATTGCAATCAAGAAATGATCAATTAAAATAAAATCATTTACATTATATTACTACATATACAACTATACGATGCTATATTATATATTATATTTCTATATTTAAAAGATAATTATAATATACATTGAAATTATCATTTTAAAATCGCGCTAAAAAAGTAAATTTATTAAGAACACTAAACGTCTCTTTGATGATTCTCATAAAAATATCATATAACAATATTTTGATCAAACTTGGGCAGTATTTGAAATAAAGTATTTTAAAATAGAAAATAAAACACATTTTTGTAGTTTTCATTTTAAGAAGTAAAATATAAAATAGATTGTCTGTTACGGTATGCTCTGTTTGAAAATAAAATGAATTTGTATTTTATTTCCAAGAAAGTAAAATTCAAAAAATGTATTTTATTTTGTATTTTAAATACACAAAACAAATTAGAAAATAGAGTGAGCTCGCTGTACTATATGCTGGTGGTCCACCAGAAAGTATTTTGTATTTGTATTTTTTTAAAATTAAAATACAAAATACTGTTATACATTTTATGAAAATAATTCAAATACATTGCATTAAAAAAAAAAAAAGATCGTGGTATTTTAAATACTGTATTTTAAAATATTTTTTTATTTATTTTTTTTTGGGTGCGTTGTATTTTATATATAACATCCATTATTTATTTTGATTGTGCATAGTTGTAGTAAATCAGATTTATTTCTATTCATCATTTATATTCTACTTTACTGAAATGATTTCTTAGTTTTAAACACCATATCCTTTAACGATATTGATAATTTTTTTTGTCTACTTATTTGATTGTTTTGTCTTGACAAATTATCTATGAAAATTTATGAGCCGTAGTATCCGAGCTTTACGAAGCGTTGAGCGATTTATTTTGTTTCTAGAGGAGATGACTCTATTGTTTTTTATTTGTTTATTTACTTAATAACAATCTTTTCACACCGTATATAAGTTGGGGTAAACATTAACAAGTAAACAGTATTAAAGATAGATAAAGAAAATAAAACAATATTATTTAATCATTATAAAATTGTTTAGCCAGTTTTTCTACCAACAAAAACCATGTGCGATAAAAAAAAAAAAAGATTAAAGTTTAATTCATTTGATTACGATCTAATCTTCCTACATCCTATGGCATTTACTATAATCGTACTTGATACTGGAATTACTTTGTTGTTCTTAAGCATAACATTGACACTTAGAAATAATTGTTAATTGTTAAGATTTTCATATTAGAAAAAAGTATCAGTAACAAATCAATCAAAAGTATCAATCAATCAACCTCAACTATATTTAACTTAACGAATCTCAGTTTAATAAACTTCTCTACATAAATGTAATGATTCCAGTTTATTGCATGATTAGCATCCATCTAAATGAAACGGTTATGTTTTCAGCGTTTGTATGATCCGCAGTATATAAACTCTTTTTTATCAAATTATTAAGATCTATCTAAAACTTGTTGGTGCTAAAAACTCATCAACATTCATTTGATTTACACTTGAATCGAAAGATAATTTGATCACAAAATCGATAAAAAAACGTGGTCAAAATAACGAGGTTATATTGGCCAAACGGCCCAATATTTTTTTAGTTCATCTTTTTTCTCGATTTCCTTATGAAATTATCCTATGACTGAAGTGGAAAGCAAATGGGTACTCATGAGATTTTAGTATCTCATTAAATTAATTAATGTAATGAGAAAAAAAATTCGACTTCTGACAATTTTCGAACATAAAAAAGTTGCAGCCAACGATAACATGAATCTATTGATGAAGTTTTAAATGGACATTAATAATTTGATAAACATGGACCTGTATCTCGGACAGTTCCAATGTGCCATGTACATATGCATGACGAAATTTTGTATTTTTTTTTTAATACATCAGCGAATCGAAAGCCTCAACAAGAAATAAATTGCTAGAATCTACATAGTGAAATTTAAAACGTGACGATCCATTACATTGCATACTCAAGTGTGTCAAATATTGAAAATCGCCATGACGTAGCAACTTGTGAATTAGATTTTAGTTAAATTTTCTATCGTAAATCATAAAACTTTAATGTGTTGTAACAGTGTATTCAAAAGTTGCATAAGTACCGATGAAAATCGTTTTATGTGGAACATCGATACATCTCGAATTGTCAAAGTTCATCATCATTGAGAAAAATATTCCTTTTCCGTAAAGAAAAACATACTTTTCGAAGATTCGAAACCTCTGTGCATCGCGCCTCTAAATGGACCAGTAGCGTTGGAGTGAAACCCAGGCACTAATTAATAAACATGCAATTACTGGGGCACAAAGCACTCATCAACTACGGATAACACCAACATGTATTTGGTATTAACGTAACCATTTGAATTTGAATCCATCCTATGACTTGAACATAGTAACCTGTGCACCCTTAGCGACAAATAAAGAGAACAAAAACATTAAAATAAAAATTAATTAAAAAATATATTTAATGCAGTAATTAAAATATAGCAGTCTAGATCAGAGGTTCTCAGCTCAGAATTTAAGATTTTACAGTATTCTTGGAAGATGTGGTTAACAATGAACACAAACAACCATATTTATCCCCATAACAAGTGTGAAGTAGCCATTTTAGGGTTTAGAGGACCCAGGTAGCGTCTTTGGAAACCATGGTTCCCAAGCCGACAATACCCACCTGTATTCTGTATCTTGTTGAATATGGAAACAAAAGATTTTAAAAGCTTTATTATTTACAATATTTGAATACAGAAAAAAAATTGTTGAGAAATATTACAATATGTTTCAATTAAAAAAACACTTAAAATAGAGTTCAGAGAACACGTCATTTATTTTTATTAAAAATAAGTTTAAAAAAAAATTTAATAAACATTTAACGAGTTTTTAATGACATGACATAAAATCTACAACCAAGAGTTGTCTCTTAAATATGTAAAATAAATATACAATAAAAATGAAGAATATTTCATTAATCGAACAACGTTCAGTCAATGATATAAATTAATTATAGTTTGAAATAACAATAAATCATTTAATTGAAACAGTACCATTAAAAAATAAATCCCCTCAACATAAATTAAATAAAATGTTATGGTACTAGTAAATATAAAATAATTATTTTATTATATATTATTTCATATCTTTTTATTTCTTCGTATTCAATTTTTCAAAGTCCCTTAAAATAGTTTCAGTATTCGAAGAAAATAACTTCAATAAAAGCCTAAAGGGTTGGTTTTTTTTTTCTTTTAAAGGAATTCATAATTTCCAAATTTATACAACTCTATCCTAATATTGCGGTTTTATGAATCAAAATTTACAACTAACCAATGCTGACCAATATTATTCTTTATTATAAAATCTATTTGTAATCTTAATTTTACAGAAAATGTCTGTAGTTAAATCAAAAGTAGGAAGTTTTGATATAGACATTATCTAAGATAATTGTTTAGGGTTATATTAATTAAATAAAGAAATGACACTCACAAAACAACATGTACCTTATATATTAAGATAACAAACAAATAAATCAAAATATATTCCTTTCGGAAGGCTTTACTCAAATTAAGTAGTTTATTATAAAAATAATTTCAATCGAATTTTTTTCAATATATATATATATATATATCAAATGGCCTCATATACAATAAATGTACATTACCTAACAACGCTATACTGACTACGTATAAAAATATACCAGGTTCGAATTAATTAAATCAAACAAGATATGATCGTTCCTTTTTTGAGTAGACTATAGTATTTTTTAAAATAAACCTATTTCGAAGATTGTAAATATTTTATCCCGTGATTGAGATTTATGAAATGGCAACCTACACGTTTTGGGATTTTAATAAATTTCATTTTTTCATCTGATTGAGATAAAGATTTTTAAATATCAACCATAGATCTACAAGAGACCAAGCTAAAGAAAGGAAAAATCCACACTGATCTTATGCAATAAATAACTTGATGATAAAGTCCTTATCAGTGTTCTTTCTTTTTTTTTTTAGTTAGTTCTGGCTCTGTCAATGGAAATGAGGAATAAAGAAAAAAATATTTACACGTGCCATTGTTTAGTCCACTATCATGGTAAACAACATTGATGGTTAGTGAGGTTTTTTAATAAATTCAAAAAATATACAAAATTTATACACAAAAACCGTTGATTAATATTAAAAAACAAATTTTAATTCTTTTAATTTTTTATGAACTGAATATGACGTAGAACGTTTTAAATCAATTGAAACATATGTTTTTTTCATCAATCATCAATAACAAAAAATAATTTTTTTTTTGTCTTAAGCTGTGTAATTATTGCTAGCACTAACCATAAAAATCAGCTTTAATCAATATTAAAACTTTCTTATTTTTTTCTGTTTAAATATTTATCTTTTGTTTTTAGAACCACGGGAATATTTTTTTTATTTATTTATTTTTTTTTTTTTTACATGCTGATTGATTCATGTATTTATTTGAATAGTACCAATACAATCTGCAACAAGCAAGGAATTTGGTATTATGGCCCTTATACTTACATTCGTTCTGTATGTACAAATTAAAATACAAGCTAAGAAGAAAATATAAGTAAAAATATATACATTAAAAGAAATAGAAAAATAATTGTTCATTCCTATATATCTTTTTTAATTATTGATAACGATTTAATTAAATATTATTTTTAACCTGTCCCAAATTTAACTAAAATTACTTTATTAATCGTAAAATAGTCTATTTATTATATAATTAAATTTATTTTTAGGTAAACTACTTACTATTTCATCCGTTGAACAAGTCCTTTGACCAAATGATTCATAAACAAAGTACCTTTTCTTTCATCTTAAAATGTATCTTTATCCTGGAAATAAATATTTATTAATAAATTAATATTAAATATATATATATATATATATATATATATATATATATATATATAAGATTGAAAATGCTATTTTCCAACAATAGCTAAAAACTACTTACAATCAATCATACTTAATAATTTGTAGAAATATGCTGAAAACAAGCTCTGAGTTAAATTTATATTGTATAAAAACATTCTTATTACAGAGAGTTTAACAGATTTTTTGTTTTTAATCTGTGTATTATTTTTATGAGCTGAAAAATAATCGAGCAAAATATGTATAAATTGAATTTTTAATATTTAATACATTTCCTATTGGCCTCCACAATAGGCCCCAAAGGATAAAATATTTATTCATTTAAATGTTTATAATTTATAAACATACTAGAGTCCTTGAATACTTTCAGTGGTCGAAACATGCCCTGATGATTAAAAATAAAAATTTTATAATGACTGATAAAATAAAAATTGTATAATGACTGAGTCCTGAATATTTATCACCCGTGACAATAAAATAACTTAAAGATAAGTTAAAGAAAAAACTCAGGCATACCTAGGTACACTATTTATAAGTAGGCGAGGGAACACCAAGCCAGGAAATTCTAACCACCCCTCCAACTACAGAGGGAAAAGCAGGACTGTGGGAGATCCTCGCGCTACTCTCTCAATGGTGCTAAAGCTAGTGGAGATTGAGCAAGAGTGTTTTTCTATTTACAGCCAAGAAATATTTTTATACCTGCCTTGTTAAATCCAATTAGTTCTTCATTTTCTTTTAATTCTAGATACTTATTACGTACTAGATTCACTGCCACAGTATTCGTTTTGAGGATGTTGTTTGTATTCTGGAATAAATAAAATTGTTCCAAAGCTATTTCCAAGGAAATATTGTGATGCGGGGATTACGTAGGGGACCTCAAAGGACAGATTTGGCTTGGCTTGTGTTGGTGTAATGGTGCTTTTTAAAGGCACCTCCGACGGCACATTAGTGGGCCCAGTTAATAACCAGGAGGTTGGTTCCCCCCATCCCCGAGCAAACGGTCAAACTGTATTTGATCTCCCTTCTGAAACGCCGCCGTAAAAACACACAGCCCCAAAGAACATACGGAAAAGAGGGAGATTACAAGCGGAACCGGCAGATTAGACACAAAAATACCGGACCCTTCAAACACGAGACCAAACACAAACAGACAAAAACGCGTACCAGAGCTTCCTCGCTCCTGGATCGAGTCTCACAGGACTAATTACACTAACGAGCTTCTTCTCCTGTAAATAAGAGGAACCTCCATGGCAGATCAAAAAGGCATGTTTGGTTTGGGTCTTACAGGAAAAATGTGTACATATGTTTTAAATATCATATACGTTTTACCGTGAATAGCAAAACTGGTCATTACCATTACCTGGAAAACATCATAACTCAAAATTCAAGATTTTTTCAGATTGAAAAGATACCAATGGATAGCTTCTTGACGTGTCAATATCATGCTTTATATTCTTATTTTACTTTTATTGTTGCAGTCAAGAAAATCGATAGTTGATGAAAATTTGCAACAAAAGGATAGAGAATATTTTAAATTTTTTATTTTTCATTTAGAAATTGTCCTTTTTTTTCAAAATTAGATTCTTTCAAAATGTCGAAATACTAAAATCCAAGCTAAACTTATCATTAATTTATCAAACGATTGTTGTTTTTATTAGTTTTTATTTTATTTGAAAATGTTTCTTTGTCTGTAGGAGGGGGGGGGGCAGCTTTCCTTTTCCTTAGCATCCTTCCCTAAGAATAATTAAAATTAGAATTCGAGAAAAAAAATTTAAAATAAAATGAGATTGTTAGTCCGAAAATAAAATTTATATTCTTAGATTGTTTATCAAATATTTCATTTAAGAGCACCGAAAAATGGTAGCTAATACAATATTTAATTAGGAGCTAACATTAGAAATCTTAGGATACTTCATAGCAACAGTAAGATCCTTGAAATTACATTCAAATGATGGGCTAGGTTAAATATTTTTACTATGTGTTATTTAGAATTCAGAAAGAGAACAAATTTGTAGTTGTTTTTAGTTGATACAAAGAAACAAAGAAAATGAAATAGACCAATGTAAAAATAAAACTTAATATTTTGTTTTGGGGTACTTTAGCCCCCAAAATGTTGTCCACATATTTAAAATATTTGGTTATTGGTACTGTTTTAACATATTGAATAACAAATACAATAAAAAATATTTTTTTGTAATATAATATGAACTTATCATTGACGTCAGCCTTAGACAAAAAGTATATGTTTTTCTAAAATACAAGTTTAATCATCTATTATTTCAATTACTATTTACTTCACTTGATTATCTAATTTAATACGTATTTAAATTTCAAATACAAAATACTTTGCGTTTTAAAAACATAAATAAATTTTAAAATACTTTTTTTTCAGATCTGGTTGATGTAAATAAAATAGTTTATTAGTTAGGCGAACAAAAAATATATAACATCTAATAATTTTCCTTTCTTTAACCATTTTTGGGCGCTATGAGACTTAGTTTTCGTTGCACAAATATTGAATTCAAGAGATTTATTTGATAGAAAGAGACCTTAAAAAAAGGTGAATATTTTTTATATTAAAAAAACCAAAATATTTTATCGTTAAATAAGGTGTCACAAATGTTTTTATCCAAAAACTCTTTATGTTCTATTTTATTTTTATAGGATGTTTAAACTTAATAGCAATTTTGAAGAAAATCGTGATAAATTTAGATTTTGATTTTATGCTAACAAAATTTTATCAACTATCAATTAACTTAATTAAAAATATAATTTTATTATTATCTTTAATAAATGTGTTTGATCATAATCAATTACCCTATACATTTATATTGATTAAATATTTTTGTACTATTATATTTTTGTACTCAGACGAAAACTATCTTACAACCTACAAGTGAAGGTTGTCCAAGCCACTTGGTCCAAATCAGTCAAAACGATGGACATTGATTGCTCTAAAGCTAATTATGCTGACTTGTCCCTGTTCCATGATAGGGCTATAACCCCACTCTGTCGAAGCAACCTAAATTGCAACGTTTAAAACTTTAGGGCAGTTGTCAATATCAACAAAACAATAATCAAAATGCTTACTAACTCTTACTAAAAACGATAACAAATATTTTGTTTTTCCCCAATGTTCCACTAATATTTAAAAAAAATAATAATATAAAATATTCAGGTATAAAGCATGAAAACTTTTCTCTATCTAAAATATCACAAAACTCTTCCTTAAGTAAATTATCAAACATCAAATAATATAAGAAGAAATAAAATATTCAGTGATTTGTGTGTTGGACAGAGTTTCCACTATACTTTTTTAATTTCCCTTTTTCCCCATTAGAATGAACTTAAATATCCCTTCCACCCAAATTTACCCCCAAGCAATATGTAATAATATATATAAATACACATATATAACTATATTTTTGTTTAACTTATATTATTTAAAAAAAAGGTGAAACTGTACCCAGGTTTAAAACCGACTGTTTCTTTATGATATGAAATCATATTTCACTGTATAATTCCATATTTTATTTCCTACTGCTATTATCCTATTTAGCAGACTACTTATAGCAGTTTCAGACTAAGTATTGTAACCTTTAGAACAAAGATAACAAACATGTAGAATTGTTACATACGACTTTTTGCACTAACAGTAGCGATATATGGAATATTTCGTAAATAAAAATAGAAAAAAGTATTTTACAATAACAAAAAAAAAACCATGATATGCATATTAAAATAAAATATTCAGAATTAATAAATGATTTTATTGAAACATTTAAATAATGAATAATTAATTAACGATGACTTATTAATTACTTACTTTCTAACGAATTTTCTCTCTGACTAATTTTACCCATTAAAATTTTTTTTCAAACCTCATTAGCCAATAGTATGAGTATATTTATATATCAAATTCACAATATTTTTTTTTATTTAATATTTTAATAGCAATTTATGAGTAAAAAATTTAGAAAATAATTTATGCTGAAAGAAAGTATTAAATAAATTATATCAGAATGGATTATATGGTTCTTCCGATATGTATATTTCAGTTTTAATCGAAAAAAATATCATTTACAATAGCTGTCATTAAGAATGCACCTCAGATTTATTATATTATATCAATGTTAAATAAATAATATGACGAATTTGTCCTTTAAATAATTAGATTAAAAAATGTAAGGAGGATAAATTATATTTTTACAATGATAACAATCCCTAATCACTCAACATAAACAAACTATAATTAAAAATAAAAAGAATTATGGATAAATCCTGTAAGCTTTTTTTATTATTTTGTTTCTTATTGTTTCATTAAACATTGTTTAATTGTTATGATAAATTATAGTTTGTTTTTTTAAATGCAGATAGTTTATAATCTAAAAGACAATCTTGCATGCATAAATCATACAAAATACTACCGTAACGTTTTTAAATAATAAGATAAATAATTGTAAAATTATTAAGCAGCTCATATCTGTTTCGTCAATTGAGATGCAGTAGCTGTTTCGTCAATTAATTTCAATACATGTGATATACTACCTGGAATTAATAATATTAAGCGAATTCAACAGTCCTCTCTGATTTCATGGAATAGATCGATATTTAAAGAAATTCGATAATTAAATAGAGAAAATTATCAATTGCTTCATAAACCTTTATTAAAAAATAATTTTTCAACACTCCAGCTCTAGAATATGCGTATAGGGTCAAGGTTATTTCCAGCAGACCGTACTGGAGGGCCGATTTTTCCAGAACACGCATGAATGGCCGAAAGAAAGGGAGAGTGTTCATCGACTTAAAAACCCCCTCGTAGAACTTTTTTTTTTACATTAACACGCCTGATAAATGTAAAGCCTTCGGAAATTTAAGTCTGGAACTGACAATTATTCTTTTAAAAATTCATAAACTTTAAAACAAGTCATTTATATCACTCTTAAGATTTAAAAATAAATATTATTTTTACATAAGATTTTGATAAAATTGTTGGTTGATTGGAGTTATAAAAATATATTTTATATTATATTAAAATGATGTTTAAGACCGATCTAATTAATTTATTTATACTTTTTTATTAACAAACAATATAAATCATAACCAAATAATATTTTTAGAAAAAATAATGTGTGAGATTTTAATATTACAATAATTTAGTACAAAAAAAAAAAAAGTGTTTATACAAATCAAAAATAAGATATTATTTTATTATTTTAGCTGTTATCTTATGTATAAACCAATTAATTAATATATGTTATAGCTACCATTTTATTTATTTTTTTTGTTTTTATATTACTTAGATAAAATTTTATCAATAATGATATATTTTATTTTACTGGGTTTTTGAAATAATTCGTAAAAAAAGGAAGCTTGCTATAGTTCAATATATAACATAAGTAAATACAGAATACAATAACAGAATGCCCTATATTTATTTTTGTCTAAACTTATTAAAACATGATTTTACTCGTATCTGATTCTTTTTTTTTTTAACAAAACCTCTGCAATTTATTTTTTTTATTGATTAAAACGTGTAATATATAATTTTTAATATTTTTTATCTTTTTATTTTTAATATATATAATTATATATTTTTAAATATATAATCTTAAAACTTCGAAGTTATCGTGATAAATGTTATTGAGGAAATTTCACTGTTTCTTGACCTGATAGTTAATACTCAAATATATTTATTCTTAATACATATATATATATATATATATATATATATATAAATCAATATAACAAATGAAATTTCTAAAACAAGGAAGATGTTTTGGGTATATTCTTCGTCTACTTAAATTCTCGATATTCCTAATTACAAATAATGTCAGAGTAAGATTGACTTTTGACAAAAATTCAATACAGACTATGTTGAAATTATCTATTTTTATGTATTATATTAGAAAAGATTATAAAGATTAATTTAAATTTTTGAGGAAAAAAAACAATGAATTTTAGCCAAATGCGTAGCAGACGTAAAATGCACTTCCAGTTGCATAAGTGCTAGAACAAGTGCATCTGGATACTGTAATTGATTTTCTTTACCTGTTGTAGCATGACTTCCGGTATCAGGTGACAGAGACAGTAGAACGCCGAAGACAAGATAAACATGCACATCCGGTGCAAACTGCAGGAAGGCGATGCACAAATTGACCATATGCTCCAAGGAGGGCAATTGTATGCACATCTCCGGCCTTGGTCTGTCCCTTCTCGAGTTGTAATTTATGTCGTTAGGTGTCGAAGTAAGGGCAGTCTGCAACATCTTCAGTTTCATCCAGTTACATAAAAAGAATAATTATATGGTTAATAAAGTAATAATAATTTAGTAGCAAATGGGGGGGAAAATGCATCCTCTATTTTATGATTTTTTTTATTTTTTTTTTTTTTATTTTTTTTTTTTTTTTGCCCGCGATGGTATGTTATCTTTCCCGGGATCTGGCTTCTATAAATATTGTGCAATATAGGAAATAAGGTAACTTTTTTTTTTTTTATTACAAACAAAGATTAAAACATTTCAATGCCAAGGTTTTGTAAGGGTAAATATTATCATATTTATTATACAAAATAATTTCCTGTTAATTCTACAATATTCTATAGTGTATGAGTACCTTTACAATTATTATTAAATAGCATATGACATTGCTAAATGTAAATTCTTTAATTATTATAGTAAAACTAATTTGATTATTCATGATATATTATCACAATGATATTGGAAATAAATAGTCCATATAAATTAATACCTAAGTAGACTATGATAAAAACATAAATCTATCTAACATACATCTATAAATCAGAAAAAAAATTATAATAAGTATATTAGAGATGGGAAAATTAAATAAACAAAATTGACAGGAATTTCAGTCACTATAATATTTATTGGGCTAGCCAAACATGTGGGCCAATATCACAGCTAAAAATTACAAAATTTATTTATTTATTTATTTATATATATATTAACTAATAGTTAAATGGTCAATAAACCATATGACTGTAATTTAAAACTATTTTAAATAAATAAACAATACAGCTGAGTACTTTTACAAACAACGTTTACAATAGGTTCCATATCATATTATTCATATTCAATTAAGAACATTAAAAAAATTATGTACTACTATTTTCGAAATAGACTTTAAAATGTCACTAAAAGATTCATTAAGCAAGATTTTAGTGGTTTTTCTTTAGTTCAATTCAAACTTAAAAAATAAAAGGTTAACAAAAAATTATTTTTAGATTAATTTCAGATATATAGTGATATATTTTAAAACTTAAAATTTTAAGTTTTAAAAACTTAAAGGCATTTAAGAAATGAAAAAAAAATTTGTTATTTCTAAAAAATTAATAATAATAATAAGTTTTAAATTTTCTAATAAACTATATTTTTCCATGTGTATTTTTATATATTTCTATTATTATTTATTTTATGTAAAATTAATTAACAATCATGCAAATTCATAAACTTTATTTTCTTTCCAATGACTGGCTTACTGCTCGAAAACTCGTTCAAAAGAAAGTAATTGTGTACGGATTTGAAAGAATTTAAATATACATATATGTTTTTTTTATTAATTCATATTATTTTTTACAATTCTGAAAATAAAACATCGTTTTTAAATTTAATGTAAATACAACATAATTTTATAACTTGAATTGTTAATGAGGATAAATTTAAATTTTGTTCTAATTTATAGATCTATGTTAGATATATATATATATATATATATATATATATATATATATATATATATATATATATATATGTTATCTGTTTTTAAACTATTAATTTATTACCACTATATCATAAATAAAAATAAAATATATCATAAATAATCCAATTCATTTTACTATAATAATTAAATAATTTACTTTTAACATTGTCTTATGCCATTTAATAATAGTTGTAAAGGTATACACACACTATAGAATATTGTAGAAGTAACAAGAAATTTTTTTGTATAGTAAATATAATATTCCTAGAAAAAATAATAGTCGTTTAGCTATGTTTAGTAAAAAAAAGAAATATTTGTTGTACATTTCCTTACAAAACCTTGGCATTGAAAAGTTTTAATCTTTGTTTATTCGCCATTCCTTAATGCAATATTCTTTCTAGATATAGCCAATGTCAAGTGAAAATAAAAAAAAATAAAAAATGTGACCTTATTTCCTAGATTGCACAATATTTATAGAAGTCAGCTCCCGGGAAAGATAACGAACCATCGCGCGTAAAAAAAAAAAAAAAAAAATGTAAAAAGAAAAAAATAGAGGATGCATTTTTTTTTTCCTCAGCAGTTATCTGCAGTTGTATATTTACTGCCCACGTCATTAATGAAGTATGTGTACATCAACGTTATGATCTAATTAAGATAGGAAAAATAAATCACAAATAAAGAATCTTTTAGGGGAACATTATTAATTTCTTATTATTTTAAAAGAATTGTAAAAATGATTAACTCATAATCTATGTATAATTACTAAAATAATAAATATTCAATTATTATTTTACAATAATACTAATTTGACCTCAAACATTTTATTACAAAAATTTTTATACATATGTATATATATTTGTGTATATGTATGTATTTCATTCTGCGTCTGAATAAAAGTTAATTGGTGTAAAAGCGCGAAACAAAATTGTTTTATTTACTAAGGTACAAAATCGAAAAAAATACTTAAAATCTCTCATCTGTTTTGACATCATCAAGATATTATATAAGGCTGTGAGACTAAAATGCAATTTGTTATCCAAAATTCTAAAATTTACCATTGTTATGTTTTGTGAGATGTTTAATCGGAAATGAATATTTCTGAAAACCTACGAAAACGTCTTAAGCCTTATGCAGTTATTTTCGAACTCCGTAGGATGTTTCCAACATTATTATGGTCATAAATCTGTTTTGTTCCTGTAATAAAATATGGATAAAATTTGTTTTAAGTTAAATCTAAAAAAATGGTTGGTGAGAAATTCAATAAATTTATTTTTAAAATTTATAGGATAACTTTCTTGAAGCTGAAAATGTTAATATTAGACATTTGAACAATAAATATAAATAATTTTCCCAAATTCATTTTCCTGAAACTTCTAATTTTTACATTGTAGTAGTATAACATATACTTTTTTTCTAAATTTGAAAGTGTATCGGGACACGAAAGGTTCAAATTTTTTCTTTTTTTTCAATTGGAATGTTTATCACGTTTTATTATACTTGATGTGAGATAAGTTTGCCAATGTAATGTAGACTAATAGATGGTTGAAATAAGTAGTTCGCGAGCAAATTTAAAATTTGGAAGACTTTAGTGATAATAAATTAAAAAACCATATGTAAAAGCAAGAGTTTAATATTAAAAGTAAAAACACAAAGAAAAAATATCGTATTCCTGTTAGATTACATCCATAGCAATATTTTATATTTTTAAATTAAAAAAAAAGAATATATATATATATATATATATATATATATATATATATATATATATATATATATATATATATATATTTTATCCAATTCTTGATATTCATAACCAAAAGATATAATAATACATAATTTTAATTAACGGCGTTGATGACCAACAGGTATTACGCCTTATATATATATATATTCTGTATTGATCTGCAGTTAATGAAAATATTTTTTTTTTTTTTTTTTTTTTTTTTTTAAATTTCTTTATTGAGTATTATAACAATCTGTCTGTTCGACATTGGTTATAGTGAGGTAGGATGACATTCACACCATATGTACAAAAAAATAAAATAAATAGAACAAAATAATAATCAAAAGTATATACAATAGACAATAAAATAAAATAACCTAAAAAATAAGAAAATTAAAACTAAGGAAAAAAAAAAAAATAATAAAATAACATGCATACCTATATACAATCAGGCGAGGGAACTCCAGGAGAACCCTGCGCTACTCTTCCAACCGCGTCACTGGTACTAAAGCCAGCGGAGATTGGTCGAGAGCACTTTAGCCACATACACACATGTCTTGAGTGAAGAATCTGGCCATTGCCAGAACTCCAATTTATATAATTTACAAAAGGTCGCGAGGCCACTGCCGTTTCAACCTTCTTGGAGGATTATAGGGATGGGAGATGCTTGATAGGGATTGTGCAAGAGGATTTGGGTGGTAAATAAGGTTCTGGTGAAATTTGGAGAACTTTTCTGGGATAAGGTCTAGGACAAATGGGATGTTAAGGTCATGATGTAGGGTTTTGTTGGATACATAGAAAGGAGCATCGACTATTGTTCGAAGGACTTTAGACTGGAAGGATTGGATGCGCTTGATGTTAGAAAATTTTGCTGATCCCCACAGTTCTAGTCCGTAAGTCCAAATAGGTTTCAGTATTGTCTTGTAGATCAGTAGCTTGTTTTCAATGGAAAGTTTAGATTTTCTGCTTAGTAGTCGGTATAGTTGGCCGTATCGTCGGTTGAGTTCTTGTCTTTTGAGTCTAGTATGCGGGTTCCAAGGTAGTCTTCGGTCTAAATGAAAGCCAAGATACCGGACTGTGTCTGAATAAGGAAGCTGGATGGAATTAAAGAGTACTGGTGGACAGGAATTGCGTCGGAGTGTAAAAGTAATGTGTTGGCATTTAGATTCATTAACTTTAATGCGCCAGTTATTACACCAGTGCTCAATCAAAGTGAGATGACTTTGGAGATTTAAGGATGCTATTTCGGGATCAGAGTTGGATGATAAGATTGCGGTGTCGTCAGCGAATGTTGCAAGAAAAGTATCGGGATGAACAGGGATGTCAGCAGTAAAGAGGATGTAAAGCACGGGACCCAAGACGCTGCCTTGGGGAACACCGGCTTTAACGGAGTAGATATTGGAAAATTCTGTTCCACAGCGAACTCGAAAGGAGCGGTCAGAGAGGTAGGATCGGAGGACTAGGTACAAGGACTGAGGTAAATGGATTTTAAGCTTGGAGAGCAGTCCGGAGTGCCATACCCGGTCAAATGCCTGTGCAATGTCCAGAAAGGCACCCGAACAGTATTCCTTGTTTTCTAGGGCTGAGGAAATATGATCAACAACTCGGAGTCCTTGTTGAACAGTAGAATGTTGAGAGCGAAAACCAAACTGATGGGAAGGGATATTTTGGGATTCTATAATGGGTAGGATTCGTTTCAAAAGGATCTTTTCAAAAAATTTTGAAAGGATTGGGAGTAGGCTGATTGGTCTATAGGATGTTGAGCTATTGAGAGGTTTTCCTGGTTTTGGGAAAAGGATAATAGTGGAGTGTTTCCATAACAGAGGGAAGTGGGTGGTGCGTAGGATACAATTGTAGATATATGTAAGGAATATGACTGCTTTGGATGGAAGTTGTCGAAGGATTTGAGGTGTAAGGAGATCATGTCCAGGAGCTTTACGGAGGATTAGTTTTTTTAATTGAAATTTTA